GCCCAGTAGCAAATTGCTTGGAAGAGATTAACTACAGCTGTTCATCAGCACAAGAGACCCAGGTAGGCAGGTACCTTGCACTTGTACTGAAAGAGCCAACTGTCCAGATGACAGAATCCAGACAGCTAAACAAGGTCAGAATGTTACTCTTGTCTCTGCATATCTGCATCTACCCCTGGCTTTTCCGCTCAGTTCTTTGTTTGGCACTCCAATTCTGTACAGTCCTGAATAGTTCTGAATGATTGCTATGATTACTCTTGTTATTTGGAAACAAATATGGATTGATTTATCATATGTTATATGTCATGTACTTATGTTAGCTTGTGAGCCAAAAAGCTTTGTGGCTTTACTTATGATCTGAACTTGTTCTTGACTTAGGAAGGGCGGGCCTGGTGTAAGCGGTAGAGTCTTACCGCCTGTGACCGAAAAGTCCCGGGTTCGAGTCGCAGTCTCCTCGCATTGCACAGTCGAGGGTAAGGCTTGCCACTAATACCCTTCCCCAGACCCCGCACAGAGCGGGAGCTCTCTGCACTGGGTACGCCCTTTTTGTTCTTGACTTAGTCATGGAATTGCAGAGTGAACTTCATTTCCTGTTGTGCATAACTTTTCGGGGGAGGGAGTTGCCATTCCTTCGAAACTTGAAAGGGAACACTGGGAAGTACTAAATAATTCCCTGCTTTTCGAACTTTACTTTATGATGATGATTACTACAGGTAAATTTTCTAGACCCTATGGTCATCTCAAAAGCCATGTCAAGGTATGTTGTGTGACTTGACATCTGAAGTCTATGCTCTGGATAGAGAGGCTATACTGGATTAGTATTATTTAAGAAAAGTCTTTTTGACTAGTCTCCATTTCTTGCGGATGTTCTGGGCGATCTAGACTCTGGAGCATCTTTTAATTATATCTCCGTGTTTGTTGAACTGTTTGCGATGATCCATCGACGTTGACACCTGTGCTACCGTCAAACCTTGCGAGCTTATAAAAGTATATAAGCTGCCTCTTATTTACCAAGTCAGGTCATGGGCTCACGGTTGCATGGAAAAATCCGTGTAATTTTCTTCTTTAGAAGACTACAAAAAGTTTCAATTTGTGTGTAGCAATCAAGTGATACTAAATTCCTGATGGCGGTGCTGGTTTGAAAGTAGTTTTGTTCTGTGCAGTCATGATTTGCCTCTAGCAGGGATTATTATTTTGTCGCTGAGATTATTCTTGGTGCTGGCCTGCTGGGTTGCACTTTTCTGTGACACCTTTGCAGCTTTCTCGTGTTGGCAGCAGGAGGGGCCTGGAAGTGGCCGGCCGATTGTAATTATTTTGACACGCAGATTCTTTCGAGGGAATAGAATATATATTATGATTCGTATCTTTTTTATAAATAATAATATTAATGTGATAATGGGCCAGTGAATTACGCAGGCACTTTGGAGGGCACAGAATTTTATTTTCCAGAAAAGTGAGAGAAAATAAAATAACAATGCATAAAGAAAAGACAAATTGCCTAGAATGATTCTTCCGATAGTGGCCACATTATTGTCGAAGCGTCTTCCATAACTATGGTATTTTTTACAAAGGATACCTTGATGTCAATATTTTAAAAAAAAAATTGAGACAAATCTTAGAAGAATTAGATAGTTTTTCATGAAGAAAAAATAAATGTACCTACTCTTAATAACTTGAAAATGACCCAAATCTAGCCTATCTAGGTGGCTGAGATGTATGCCCATACCTCTTACTCTATCTAACCAATTAAGATAAGCTCACTTCTTGGTACTCTTTTTATAGTGGTGTGAACACGATTAATTCTTTTGAGCTAAATGCACCGGCGATACGTTAACTTAGGGCATCTATGACAATTGGGTTCATCAACTTTGAAAGTTTTCTGGATTCATAAACATTTTAGGTTGTTCAATGTATGTTTGTATCTCTTCACCTTGGTTGTTAAGGCTGGTGTTGAGGAGTACCTCTTAAAATGTTTATAAACTTAGAAATGCACTTTTGAAGTTGAAGAAATTTAACTCAGTTCTTTTCTATTTGTCTGTGCCCCCTTCATGGCCATGTGTGTTAGAACAACAAATGGTCAGGGGCCAATGGCGAAGGGTGAACCAATAGCATGTAGGGGCTCATTGCAAAAACTATTGTTGTACTAGCTACTGAAGCTTCTCAGGTATGACTACGGATGCAGTCTTATAAAGCATCTATGAGGATTATAGGCTACCAAAACTAGAATTATAGATTACTATTGTTGTCACAAAGGAAGGGAGGCGAAGGCTACCAAAACAAGGATGATGACGCGAGAACCAAACTCTTCATTCATGTGTCTCTGTTGTCCCCTCTTTTCCTTGTCCCTCGTCCACAAATCGAAGCCTTCGTTTCATTGTCTTGGTCCGACCTCTGGCTATCTCAATGGCTCTTCTTGCTCCTAAAGTCTTCCCCCTTGCCCCACATCAACCTTGTTGCAAAGTTTCTAGATTTATATGCGTGGAAAATGAATCCAAGTTTTAGTGTATGGAATGGTTTCAGTCACCTTTGCATCTTGAAAGCATTTCAGTGGACTGGAGTTGTATTGGCACGGATGTGTGGTGGTGTTGGCTCAAGATTTAAAGCATTTTAGGAGGGGAAATAACCATTAAAGTTTTCTATTAGAATTTGATTACTCCATCTAGAAATATAAGGAATCTAGATTTGTATCTAATGATTTTAATTTAGTGACATAAACATTACAAATTATCATTATATATTATTAATAAATCTGGTCAAATTTATAGAACGATTTTGAATTAGAACAACTCAAAGTCACTTATAAGAGCATCTCCAAGAGTCTTTATAAAACCCACTCTTTAAATCATTATTTGGAGAGTCATTTGCATAAAATCACATTCTATATCTCTTGGTTCTCCAACAGTTTTTCTATACCTTGTGGTGCACTTTAAAGAGTTATTCTCGTTTTCTATCTTTAGCTAGCGAAAAATCTGGAATAAAAGATATCTATATTTGATAACCAATAAAAAAGCTGTTGAATTGTATTTTTTCATCAAAATCTTTATTCCTGGCCATTAAAAAAATACAAAGAGTCTTTGAAGTTGCTCTAAGTAGTTCCTAGTACAGTCAGTAAGAAACATATCGCCGTACAGCCTACAAGGATGCACCTCTATTGTCCTGCCCTTTGCAATTTCGTATTTAATTGTTTCTTTTTTGTCTGTGCCCTGTATCTCTACACGTTGATATAATCCATGACATGACATGAAAGACATCCAAAAGTGCTCTCTAGTTTTTATTCACCTTTTCAAAAGAAATGAGTTTATGAAGAATAGTATTTAAGACTCTAAGGCCCGTTCGCGTGTCCTTAAACCTGGCTTGATCCGCTTCTTTTTTTCATTCGGAGCAGTGTTTTTCTCTTACAAATTCATCCAACATTTCTCCAAACCATCCAAATTCTTTCAGAATTCCTCCAAGCGAACAGGCCTAAATAGATAAATTATATGAAAATATATTCTATATGATGAATCTTGTTTATTATGGTAAATATTAATATATTTTTATATGATTTAGTCAAAATCATGATATATAGATCCTTTCTCTGTCCAGAAAAGAATGCAATTCTAGCACAGTATCCTGGTTTTCCATCTTAAGTTCGATCAATTATAAATAAAAAAGTATCAATATTTATAATATCAAATAAATATCATTAAATTAATTATGAAATGCATTTTTATAATAAATTATTTTGAAGCCGTAAATATGAAGAGTATTTACTAGAAATTTGATCAAACGTGAACTATTTTTGCTCGCACGTAACACGTGGTTGCATTCTTTTGTAGACAGATGGAGTATATTATGGCACCGTTTGGCAGGGCTTCACTTCACTAGTGAAGCTATTTTTTTTGGCTTCAGCTCCACAAACAGTTCCACCGGTGGAGCTGAAGCGGTTTTGGTAAACCGTTTGGTAAAATGGCTTTCCTGTGAGAACATGTTTTTAAGGCCCTGGAGGAGGAGCCGGGAGAAGCCACTTTTTTTTCTCCATCCCGCCCCAAATCACTGTGAGAGCATGTTTTTAGAGGCTTCACAAGTGAAGCTATTTTACTTTAGCCCGTTTGGTAGAAAATGGCTTCAAACGACTCCTGAAGCCGGTGAAGAAGCCCTGCCTAATGGGGCCTATATAAGAAAACTTGCTAGCTTTGCAAATAGAGAGGTTGGAGGGCTGGAGGCACGTTCTGAAGGCAGAAAAACGGGGTGGGGGTTGGAGCAACGAGTAACCACCTCGTGGGAGCGACGGCGATCAGATTGGCTGCCCTGCCCTGCCCTGCCCTTGCCTCCAAGGCTCCAACGGACGAGACGAGACGAACGAATGGACTGACCTGACGCCTGACGGACGGGGGCGGTTCGTTTGAAAGTCAGCAAGCGACGAACGCGACGCGGGGTGGACTCGCCCCGTCTCCTCCTTCCCTTCCGCACCCCCTCTTCTCCCTCCCTCCCTCCATCGAATCCAGGCCTTCATTGCCTGAGCCGAACCTCCCATCCACCACCAGACCACCTCCTCCCTCCGCGGCCCTCGACCTTACTAGTCAATCGACCTTAACACACGCGGTTCGTTCTTACTGGTTTCCCGGGAGGGACGCCTTTCGTGTGTGTGTGTGTGTTTGCGCTGGCTGCTGCCTCTTCAAGTCGTCTTCTTGCACGCCCTTATTCTCTTCTCTCCCGGATTCCTTCTCCCTCCTTGAACCCCGGCCAGCAGGCGGCGATATTGTTTCGTCTTCCATTGTTTTTTTTCTATTAATCCCAAAGTGAGCAGCAGCAATAAGAAGAGAAGACGAGAAAGGAAACCTGAGAGAGTCGCAGCTTCTCGGATTTCTTCGGTTCCATTCTGATTCGATTGGAGGATACATACGGACGCCCCCAAATCGAATCGAATTTTTTGGCAATAGCAACAGTAGCACAAATTAGATTCTCGATTCGTCCCATTTTCCTACTACTAGTACTACTACTAGAGGGAAAAAAAGAAAATGAGGCTGGTGGTGCGCGTCATCGAGGCGCGGGGCCTCCCGCCCGCGGACGCCGACGGGACGCGGGACCCCTACGCCAAGGCGCAGCTCGGCAAGCAGCGGGCCAAGACCAAGGTGGTGCGCAAGACGCTCTGCCCCGCCTGGGACGACGAGTTCGCCTTCCGGGTCGGGGACCTCAGGGACAACCTCCTCGTCTCCGTGCTCCACGAGGACCGCTACTTCGCTGACGACGTCCTCGGCCAGGTCAAGGTGCCCCTCACCGCCGTGCTCGACGCCGACAACCGCACGCTCGGGACGCAATGGTACCAGCTGCAGCCCAAGAGCAAGAAGTCCAAGCTCAAGGATTGCGGTAAGGACACACCTTGCCAGTTATCTTGTTTTATTTATTTGCACATCACATTTCAGTTTGTGACTTTTGTTTCCACTCTAGTTAGTTACTACTCTGTTGCCCCATGTCCCATGATGATGATACTCTGTGTAGGAGTTAGTTCTACTAGGACTAGGAGAGATTGACTCGCAAAACATGTTTAGTTTCCTGATGATGGCTTTTGCAGGAGAAATTCGTCTCAGCGTTTCTCTGGCTCAAAACTACTCTGAAGAGACAACGGCACTTGCGCATTGGGCCTCAGATGACCTTGCATCAAATTCAGACAAATCAACTGAACTGGTGAAAGGATCTTCTTTGCCGAATATTGCTATAGAAGTATCCACAGCAGTACCAGAGATCGATGAGATAGAAGTTGCCAAGGAGGATAAATCAAGCACTGCTCCATCATTTGTCAACAGGCTATATCAAATGTTTAATAGTAAACCAAAAGATGCAGAAGCTTCTGCTCCACCTCCCTCCAAGCTGAACGACACTTCAGATATCACGGAAGAAACGATGTCGACCAGCTCTGAAGCTCCCGAGAAGCAGGATCATGATGCCAGTGCAACTATGACCTTTGATGAGCTACTGAAGGCCTTCGGTTCTCAGCATGAGGGGAAAGAAATGCCTGAAAATTTGTCGGGTGGAGTTGTTCTTGATCAAGTTTATGCTGTTGCACCGAATGACTTGAACACGCTTCTTTTCTCTCCAAGTTCAGACTTTCTGCAATCACTTGCAGAGATTCAAGGAACTACAGGTCTTGAAGTTCAACAATGGCGACTTGAAAATGACGGTGAAATCCTGAGGAGAGTGGTAGGCTACACAAAAGCTCCTACTAAACTAGTTAAGGCTGTGAAAGCAACAGAGGACATGACATATTTGAAGGCAGATGGAGAGATGTTTGCAGTTTTTGCAGATGTTAGTACTCCTGATGTTCCTTTTGGCAATACTTTCAGAGTGGAGGTTTTGACCTGTATAATGCCAGGACCTGAACTACCAGATGACGAAAAATCTTCACATCTTATGGTCTCTTGGCGCGTAAATTTTGTCCAAAGTACCATGATGAAGAGCATGATTGAAAATGGAGCAAAACAAGGCTTGAAGGATAACTATGTTCAGTTCTCTGAGCTGCTGGCTAAATATTTTAGGCCGGTTGATGCAAAAGATACAACAGCCAGTAATGAAGTCCTTTCTTCTGTGCAACCAGAGCAAGAATCTGACTGGAAGCTAGCATTTCGAATATTTGGAAATTTCGCACTTTTGTCCTCAGTTTTTGCATTTGTTTATGTTTCTGCCCACATCATCCTTGCAAGCCCTAGTACAATTCGAGGTCTTGAGTTCCCAGGCCTGGACTTGCCAGATTCTGCTGGTGAAGTTGTAGTTTGTGGAGTCCTTGTTCTGCAAGGACAGCGTGTGCTAAATATGATTGCACGATTCATCCAGGCGAAGAGGCAAAGAGGTAGTGCATATCGCTCATTTTATGTTGTTTCTTTTTGGTGGGGAGTGTAATACATTCTTAACTCAAGTGTTAATTCATCACGCCAACTGGTGACATCAGAACTATGTAAGTAATGAAATTTCAGTAGATAAATCCTGCAGCACATGGCATTCAAAGCCACAAGAGCATGTAGCTGTTATGCCTCAATTGAAGTGCTTCCTAATAGGACTAATGGGTTACTGTGTTTTTCTTTGATTCAACAAACCTTCAGGTTTCAGTTACTGTTCTGGATAATTACTCTTGCAATCTTCCATATTGACCTTTTGGATTGTATATTAGGTGATCATGGAGTCAAAGCACAAGGGGATGGCTGGTTGCTGACTGTTGCTCTGATGGAGGGAACCAACTTGGCAGCAACCAAATCATCTGGTTACTCTGATCCGTATGTTGTATTTACATGCAATGGGAAGACAAAGACAAGTTCGATTAAGTTTCATACCCTTGAGCCTCAGTGGAATGGTAAATCTATACCTTTCCTTTTTCTGTCATTCATCAGCCATTGCAGAATTCATTTGACATACATTGTCAAGCAAGCAGCTTCTCTTATATATATTTTTTATTTACCAGCACTTTTTAGTTATGTGGATCCATTAGTTCAGCACTTCTGTTGGACACTTTGTATTATTTATCTGTAATCTGGTCTGATATAGAACTGCGAGTTGTTGAGTTGTGTGCTATAACCTTTCCAAAACTTGCAGAAATTTTTGAATTTGATGCCATGGAAGATCCTCCGTCAGTGATGGAAATACATGTGTATGATTTCGATGGACCCTTCGACGAAGTTGCCTCCCTTGGTCATGCTGAAGTGAATTTCTTGAAATATAATAATATATCTGAGCTTGCTGACTTTTGGATTCCTCTGAAAGGAAAGCTGGCTCAAGCATGTCAGTCAAAATTGCATCTAAGAATCTTCTTAAATAATACAAGGGGTACTGAAGTTGTGAAGGATTACCTGGACAAAATGGAGAAAGAAGTTGGCAAAAAGGTGAGATTTCCTCTCCTGTCATCAGTTGTGGCCAGTATCATCCTATCTTGGCAATATATTGACTTACCCAAAATTCATTCTACAGATTGCTATGAGGTCTCCTCACACAAACTTAGCATTCCAGAAAATCTTTTCTTTGCCACCAGATGAATTTCTTATCAATGATTTTACTTGTTACTTAAAGAGGAAAATGCTAACACAGGTAAATGTTCACTGTTTACGCTTATTTGCCTTTTGTGCTGCTTTTTTTTATCTTATACTGTCGGTGAGCCTCCAAGCAGTTCAGTTCATAATACTTCAGCACCCTTGTTCTCATTATCCTAGAAACAAGCTGTCAGATTTATGCACATGAATTGTTATGCCAGGGGTTTGCAAATCTATGGATGGTAGTCAGACTTTTCACCTTCTATTCCAGATCCTTTGTATTCATTATGATCCGTCTCTGTGGGTGTGCCTCCAAGCAGTTCAGTTCATAATACTTCAGCACCCTTGTTTTCATTATCCTAGAAACAAGCTGTCAGATTTATGCACATGAATTGTTATGCCAGGGGTTTGCAAATCTACGGATGGTAGTCAGACTTTTCACCTTCTATTCCAGATCCTTTGTATTTATTATGATCCGGCTTCACAATCCTGTTTAACCATTAACCAATATATTTAACTTATTTTTCTACTTATCTTGATTCAATTATTCTAATCAGTGATTACTAATGGGCATCGCTGTTACTTTACAACAAACTAAACATAACCTTTTTATGTCATCATGCCTGAGAACTAAACCATGTCTGCCTGTGTTGCAGGGTCGTCTTTTTCTATCTCCAAGAATATTTGGGTTTTACACAAATCTTTTTGGCCACAAAACAAAATTCTTCTTTCTTTGGGAAGATATTGAAGACATCCTACTGGTCCCTGCGACACTATCTTCAATGGGAAGTCCATCTCTGGTGATTATTCTTCGAAAGGGCAGAGGAATGGATGCAAAGCATGGAGCAAAGCAACTGGACAGTCAAGGGAGACTAAAGTTTCATTTCCAGTCTTTTGTCTCATTCAATGTGGCGCATAAGTAAGTACATTTTCTTGCATGATACATATGAACCCAACTTATTATCATTTGTGGTTGGCCATCACAAGAGAACCTCCTTAAAAAGGGCTGTCTATCTTCCTGTCTATTTACACCTCACCTGTTTAGTTCTGTTTCTTCATGAGTATGTTTGTTTAAAATGCCAATGGCCTGCTCTACAGAACAATAATGGCACTGTGGAAGGCAAGGTCCTTGACCCCTGAACAAAAGGTACAGCTTGTAGAAGAGGAATCAGAAACAGAAGACTTCCAAAATGAGGAAGGAGAATCTTTCTTAGGGATAGAGGATGCCAAAATGTCAGGAGTGTTTTCATCTACAAAACCTTTTGATGTAAGATTCCTTATTCTATCGAGACATAATGTGCAATCCACCATGTTTTCCACAAAAGGATCAAGAGCTACAACTTTACATTTGTAATTAACTTTTTGTCACTAGGTATCAACACTCATGGGCATATTTGAGGGTGGTCCTTTGGAGCGCCGGGTGATGGAGAAAGTTGGCTGCATGGATTACTCTGTTACAGCATGGGAACCTGTCAGAGCTGATATTTACCAGAGGCAAGTTCATTATAAGTTTGACAAGAAATCAACACGGCATGGAGGAGAAGCAATGAGCACCCAGCAGAAGTCCCCTTTGCCTAATAAGAATGGCTGGCTTGTTGAAGAAATGATGACACTTGAAGGTATCCCTGTTGGTGAATGTTTCAATGTAAGAGCCGATTCCCTGGTATTTTATTATACAAATTTCATTGTCAGTTACATGTTGCATTTTGCATGATACTATATATTAGCATGCTGCAAGTGTCACATCTTCCTTTTTTTATGATTGGCATTCTTTCTGTCATGTTTTCACTTTTTATTAGCTTGATGATCTTGAATGTGTTTTTGTTCTTTCTCTACATTATTCCTCTCTTTCTTTTGCTTGGGAATTCCATGGTCAGCCAGCAACACTGTGACAAGGTGTGTTTTCTTGGATGCCACACATATGCTGGCGTGGTGGATATTGGCCATTTTTCATTTGGGCCTTAATGATAATTACGATGGTGGCTATGCTAGAGGATCACCTGATTCTGAAATTCATGTGTGTTGCCATTGCAAAATACACAAAAACATTGCAGTATTTACTATTAGATGCACTTGGTAGGGGAAGAGCGAAAGAAAGAAAAACAGTTTCATTGGTCATAGGGAACAGTCATCTCTTTTTTTTTCATCACTTTGTCGCACTTAAAGTGTTATATTTATTTCTTAATTCCCACTTAATAATTGTTCTCTCTCTCATAGCTCCATATTCGATACCAACTGGAGAACAACGCACCCAAGCAGAAGACTTGCACTATCCAGGTATCTATTGGCATAGTATGGTTAAAGAGCTGCAAGAACCGAAAGAAGATCACACAGGATATAGCAACCAGTGCATCTTCTCGCCTCAAGAAGATATTCAGCCAACTTGAGAAGGAATCTATACCAGCAAAGTAGGAACCTTTTTTTTTGTCTGCGTCCTGCTTTTGCTGCTGCACATATGCTGGCACTATGTTTGTTCTTGCACGTCCTGCTGCCCATGCTGAGCAGAGATCAGTGGCATAATGAGAAGTTGCAGCACAAGGAAAAAGCCCTCAAGAAGATTTTATAAAGCAACACAAAGCAAGGGCCTCATTGCAAGATTTTAGATTAGAGAACTTTTAACTAACTGTAGAGCCTAGAATGTGGTTTAGCTAACCATGTATACATAATGTTCAAGCATTGTTCTGACTCCTACAAAAGTTAAGAGGATCTGAAATTCTACACCCTTTAGTTAGATTGGAAGGAAAGGTAGCTTCCATGGTTACAGAAAAATAACTGTTAAGATAGCTCACTACTACAGATTGACTTTTCACCGTCGCCACTGTCCTGTTCACTTCGCTGAAACACCGTTCTAGCTGATTTATTGTGAGAGAAAAACACTGTTCTGGCTGAAAAGACAAGCTGAAAAGTATGGATTATAAGACAAGCGAACAGGGCAGTATGGATTATAAGACAAGTGAACAGGGCCTTTCACTACAGTAGCGATAGAAGTGACGCTGTTATACTTCCACGGTCGGTTGGATCGATAGTGAGGCCTCCAAGGGAAGGAAACCGACAGTTAAAAACCATCAATGCGGCGGTGGTAGTGGGGTTGAATTCTACTGTCGTTTGGAACGCCGAGCCAACTGTGATAGGCGTTATGGCCGTCGGCCCTACACGACCGTTTGGTGTACCGGCGGTAGTAAATTCAGCGTGAGTTATTTTTCCATTTTCCAACTACCAACAACACAGTTACATCACCATTACTTTCCTACGGAGTATGCCTCGTCTTCCTTGATGCATAATTGCTCCTCTCTGCTTCTCCATCTTCAAAGTTGGCCTATTTAAGTGGGGGCTGGATGCGCTTCTTGGCAATCCACACACTCCTTCCTCCTTAGATACAGATAGATACAGACAAAGCTCTTGAGCCAACCAGCTATATTTTCTTCATCGCCATGGCGCTCCTTCTCCAACTCCTCTAGCAGCAGCGGCGGCATTGGGAGAAGGCCTTCCAGATTGGGTACTATCGGCATCTAGGCGTAGCGGGGCTGCTCGATCTAGGTGCTAGTGGAAGTTTTGCGACAGTGCAAGGGAACACGCTTGTTTTCCTTCCTTCTCTTCCGCTTGGAAAGGTAAAGGGAACACGCTTGTTCCGCCTCTTGCTCTCTCTCGACCATGAGAGGTGTAGATGCCAGTGGAAGTTTCACCTCACCTTTTCTTTCTCTTTCTTGAATAGCTCTGTGTTCCCATTTCCAAGCTTATTGTTCAGTCTGAGGAATCGAAACGTGAGCACCACCATATCCTAATCGACAAGGAAGTTACTACACAAGAAAGGTGGACAAAAAATGGTTTCCTTCATTTTTTCCTACTGCTAAACTTACATGTTGACAATTAGTCATCCTATGCAGGAATGCACATGATGAGGCATGAGCTGTCAATGAATATACCCTTTCTTTAGCGGTGGAATTTTCTGTGGTGACTACTGAAGAACAGCGATTAAAGTGTACAACGGATGCTATAAATGAGCTTAATGTGACTCAATCATCGCCTCTTCTTCAATGCTCGTGTAACAAAAATAAGCGCCCTAGGGTTGTTGATAATGCATGCAGAAGCTGACGCTGGTTCTAGAAAATGAAGTTCTAAACACATAGAAGCAGAATGTCCTCCTAAGAAGTTACGTACTTTCAAAGCGGAACAAAAGAGCATCTGGATGATTGCACATCATCTGTTAACAAAAGATCTGGAAAGAAGATGTGCAATCATCCAGAAGGTGCTCTTCTGTTTAGCACCTTGCACCACCAGTGTACTAGGCCGTAGCCTGGGAGAGCAAGGACAAGGAAGAGTGTGTGGAATAATGAGGCTAAGAGGTGCACCCAGACCCGGCTTAAATAGTGATGTGTCCGTTTCATACATTGTTCATTCCGTATGTTCCCTTGTTCTTAGAGTCATTAGGAGAGCACTAAACTAAGTTGCATTTGATGTATCTCTCTGTGACGACATGTTTAAATGGACCAATGTTGTTTGATTGTCTATGGACATGTTAATTTCCTCTAGGATGGATGTTGTCATTATTGTAGCCAAACTAGTGTGCCTTTGTTGTGTTCACAAATTGAATTATTTATCTAGCGCTCAGAGTACGGTGGTGTGACAGCTCCCGTCGCCATTTCATACGGTGATTCAGCGTTAGTTTTACATAGCCTAGAGGCCCACGTCCTCCTCAGATAGGAGGAAGATGTTAAGAAGGACCGTGAGACAATGAATAAGGAAAGAGCACTGTAGTACAATACTAATATTGAATTAATTATGGAGTTGTTTCCAATATTCACTCTCGCAACAAAAAATCAGAAGCTAACAGTCAAGAGTGAATTAGTTTTCTATTCCAATTGCCATTCTGAACAAAATAATTTCGCGGCGAAGCCTACAGTCCTCGCTGCAAAATAGAGTCCTTTATTCCCATCCTTTTGGAACGCTGCAGTTGGCGCCTGCGCACGGAAGATCGCCACGCTCCTATGCCGACGACGGCGGCGGCCACTTGTTGTGCCACCATGTCATTTTGTGGATTAAGTTCGCGGCTGCCTCGCGGCACAGCCGACACCCCTTGTTGCTTAGCCGCCTACACATTGGTCCGCCGCCGCCGCCCGCCGCCAAACGCCCACGATTCTTCCTCGCCCTCGATCCGTCTTATGTACCGCCTCGTAGTGTTGTCATCGCCAGCATCGCCATTGTGCCTATAGAGGAATATGGCAACCAGATAGGCCGCCATATTGTGCCCGCCATTGGCGGCACGGGTAAGATAGTCGAGACATGGCCGGGGGTTGCAGTTTCCCACAAATACGGTTTGTATCCCGGTGAGCAAGCAAGCCTCCGGGTTGCCGAACTAGGTCAGCCTAGCAAGGAGGGCGAAGTAGTTGACGCAGTCGTTCGACGAACTAGTTCTGCACCGATCCACTGCCACACGCCGAGCGATGGCGGGGTCGCCGTAGGCTGCGGAGGTCGTCCAAGGGCCGCTCCGAGGTCGCAGCAAGGTGGCTGGCGATGTCAATTTGCACCTCGTTAGGGAGTGCCATCAACGACGTGGGGTGCCGCCTCGCCGCTATGATTGCCGACGTCGATGGAGGTACGGTGTGTGGACGACGCGACGTACGTTGATTGAGGAGGAGGTTTTTTTGGGGGGGGGGTTAATTGAGGAGGGAGTTATCATGACGAACTTGTTTCCCGATTATTTAAAGAGTATCGTTGTAAGGTCAGGATGGCGACTAGAGAGAGGGGGTGTGAATAGTCGTTTCTAAATCTTAATCGCGCCGGCTAACCAAAACAAGTGCGGAATTAAATCTATCGGTCTAGCCAAGACTACACCCTTCTATCTATATTCTTTAACACCTTGCAAAGATCCTAATTAAGCTATTAAGGTGCCGGGCTAGCTAGAGCTCTCCTAACCAATTCTAGAAGTAAGGTCACACAAACCTATGCCACTAGTACTTCAAGCAACAAGGGAGCTCCTACACATGCTAGTAAGCAAAAGCACTAATCCAACTAAGCTCACTAGCAATGCTCAATAACAAGGCAACCAATGCCAAATAGAGAGCGCAAATACTTAGCTACACAAACTAAGCAATGTGACTAACAAGGTTACACAAAACCAAATTAGCCACACAAGGGAGCTACTTCTATGCTACACAAGCTAGAAGGTAACTAGCAAGCTACACAAGCTAACTAATTACAAGAGCAACTATACAAGCACAATGTATATGAAAGTAATTACAAGCTTGTGTAACGAGGATGCAAACCAACGGGAATACAAGGATGACACGATGATTTTTTCCTGAGGTTCACGTGCTTGCCAACACGCTAGTCCCCGTTGAGACAAGCTCCAAGGTTGTCGCCGGTCCTCTTGCTAGTGGTGACCCGCAAGTCACTCTCTCCCATGTGGAGTGCTTACCACAAGCTCTAGCACTTGACCCGGCCGGACCACTTGTCGTCCTTCGCGTCCCACTTTACTAGAGTTGCTCTTCGCGGCTCCCGTGGGGTGAGCACAATGCCCCTCACAAAACTCTTCTCTAGAGCACCGCACAAGCTTCTTGCGGGCTTCAACGGAGACCACCACCAAGCCATCTAGGAGGTGGCAACCTCCAAGAGTAACAAGCATCACCGGCTTGCAACTTGATCACCTAGTGCCACTTAATGCAACCTCACGATGCAATCGCACTAGAATCGCTCTCACACAATCAGATGATCACTATCAAGCATATGTGAGATGGATGGCTCCCAAGCACTCTCAAGCATGGACACAAAGTCCCTCGAGGTGCTTAGCCCAAGCCATGGCCGAGCCCACCTTCTATTTATAGCCCCATGGGCTAAACTATCCGTTACCCCTTCATTGGGCAAATTTCAGGATGATCGGATGCTCTGATCAGATCGACCGAACGTACCCTGCCAGCGTCCGGTCGCTCTACGCCATCCACATGTCACTCTGCGTTCAACCGGAGCCGCTCGATCTCAACGGTTAAGTTGCGACCGAACGCTGCACAGTGAATGACCGGACGCTGCTGCGCCTGAGTCCGGTCGTTTCTAGAGAGCTCCTCGAGCCTTTGTTTTGCGACCATACGTGTCTGGTCCACCATGACCGGACGTAGACCAACGTCCGATCAGTTCTGTGCCCACACGCCTAACTCCAGTGCTGCCTACATCACCATACGTCAGCACTGACCGAACGCAGACCCTGAGCGTCCGGTCACTCTTCGCGCCAGTGTCCGGTCATGAGACTGAGACCGCGCGCTCACTGCTGCCACTGACCGAACGTGCCGGTCCTGCCGAGGCCAGCTGTCGCACCCGATTTTAAGAACAAAATCAGATACACACCATATGTGAGCCCAGGAAGTTAAATCTCACATATAGCTACAAATAAATGTAATATCAACAGACAATGCTTAAATACA